TCTGTTCAGCTACCAAATGAACCCTGCATTAAATACAGAGAACACTATAATTGTGTTATCTTGTGACAGAATAATCATCTTTCCACATTTACATTTTGTTCATTTAATTCATTGTCTGTGCCAGGAAAAAGAATGAGAGCTTCTCCAAAGCAATAAAGATTATTGGTGTGTCCATCCCTGGCACTCCATCACAACAAGGAAAGACTGTGAAGCCTGGAAATCTTGATGAGATCACGCTTGAAAAGGGAAATTCAAAGACTATGTTTTTTTGGGAAAAGGAGAAGTTTTCCTGGAATTTTATTCCCTGTCCCTTTTTCTGTAACACTATGTATGGAAATGTTCTTTCTCGGAAAGGGTTTGCCCTTTCTGCCCCTTTTATATTGTTATATATTAAGATGTCATGAATTCACACCATAAAAAAAAAAACCCACAACGGTCTCACATTTTTTCAGACTGTAGATGAAAATTATTCAGTAAAGCTGTTTTTTTTTACTAAACATAATAGTAAAGCTCCCTCTGCTGGAAATTTTAGTGCAAGAAAGCAAAACCACCTCAGGATCTTTAAAAGGTAAAACAAGAAGTAATTTTCTGTAACATTTAGACTTTCTGCATAAGAAAGCGCGAAACTACTGCTGAAAGACAGGAGCTTTCTCTAAGCAAACTGAAGTCTCATCTTCATTTTAGTAAATGGCTTATTCCTTAAATTCCGTTTAAAAGTACTGCATTTGGAAACTGGCAGATCCTGTAATTTTCAAACTATATGATTTTACCTGATTAACATAATTATTTGGAGTGAAGTTGGAGTTTTTTCATATTATCTTTAATCCTAACTTGAAACATGCAATGTTAGACCTCTAAAAAGGCGTTGGTGTTCAGAGGGAGATGATCTCAACTTCTAAGTTTAAAAGTACACGAAATTTTTATTTTCCCAATTTCTAGTGACAATGAGGAGAATCCAAAACCAGGTTAGACTGCCTTTATAAGAAGAATGATTTTTTCTACTGCTCCTATAGACCCAGAGCACCTAAATTTGCTTCTTCTAAAAATCACTTATTAGTCAATTATCAAGGCATGGGAAGACAAAAACCTTCCACCTTTCTTAAATGATTCACTGCTTTGGTGCAGAAGTGAGCCCAGAATAATAATCTCAGTAATAATCTCATCTAGCAGAAATGAGGTATTTCCTCTAATATGTCTTTAAAAATACATGGAAAGAGAAATCTCTGGCAAGCAACTTCATAGACTTAGTGATAAAATGACAGAGGTGAATTTCATCATTCTGAGCTTGAATTTGCAAATGAATTTGCTGACAGCACAACTCCAAAGGCGGATACAGCCCCACTGCCACCTTCTTACTGTTCTCAGTCCCAGTACAGATACGGTTGGACGACACAAATTAAATGTACTGCCAGCAAAAGGGCAGATCTTGCTCCCCTGTTCTCTCTCTTCAGTCCCCACTTGCACTGTCTCTGCTGGCCACCTGACTATGTGGTGAGCCAGCTCAGTCCTGACAGGCAGGTTTGGGAACTGCTGCCTCTCCCATGAGAAGTGCCCTTGAAGGATGAAGAGAAATGGTTTCAGAGCCTGCCCAGAAGCCAATGGCTTCACTGTTCCAAGTGACCTCCAGTACTTGAGCGCTAGGACTGCTTCCTCTTTAGTTTCTGAATTTTCTTTTATGGATGAACAGGCGTATTTCCCTGCAACCATCCATCTTCCACCTTTGCAGGTATCTTCTAGAGTATATAACAGTTCTTTAATCGCCTGGCAAAAATCTGTATAGCTTTCAGATTTGTTTTTAACACGTTATTTGCTGAAAAGAACTGAGTGAGCTCCAAGAGTGCTTTTAAGATCCACCCATTCTTTGCTATGTATTTAAGCATACAAAGTTAAAATTCACAGAAGAAAACCAGAAACACGCAGGTATGCTTATATCTTAATCCACACAGATTAATTTTCCTTTAACTTTATTTTAATATTAATTAGTATTAATATTACTACTACTCCTATTATGTCTATGGGCTATTCACTCTTACTACAGCTTTAAACAGTTTCTGCTGAAAAAAATTACTATAAAAATAAGCTGTCAACAGAATACTTAGTTTTAATAAAGCTAGTAATTGGATTTGGGGATTTCAGTATAAATAGTATACAGATTTAACAATGGTTTGAAAAATCTAGATAATCGTATGTGGTTTGAACAGTCAGTTCTGTCATGAAAATGTAGAGCTTTTTCATCCATTTCATTCACTGTCAAAAGGGTATCTTGACTTCCTTTTAAAAGACCTTGAGACAGAAGATGAAAAATCCAACATTTTACATACTAACTAGTGTGGTGTATTGTTATGTCAAATGATCTATTCTCGAAGGACTCCCTCCCTTCAGAGAATAAAAGGAGGTAATACACGCTTTTATACAGAGGATTATTCCCAGACAATCTGTCATAATCTGAAAAAATGGAAGATACTAAGGCCACTCCCAATCATCTGTTTCTTCTCCAATTTCTAGATTCAAAAGTTATTGTTACTCTACTTTTTAAAAGCTTTATTGAAAAAATACGCAAATTGGGATTGCTGCTCTCTCACATTTCTTTTGAAAGTCACAATACCAACAGCTTTCATTTTCAGTAGGAAGCATTAAGTCATCTGAGATGAGGATATGATCTTCTTGAACTGGCTGATAGACTGTCATGTAATGAGTAAGTTTGTGCTGCTACAGTGAGAGAAAGTTTTTGCATGACAGAACTTTTAACTGCCATTTTGTTCATTCTCTAGAACAACTGCAAATATTAAAGGCAGAAGTAACAATAAGACTTGTAGAGAAGATGGTTTCCAATACTATATTCAACATTTCTAAAACCTTGTATCTTTAAGAAGTGTTTTTTTTTCCTAATCATTGCTCAACAGTTTAATTTTTTGTTCTTTGGAAAAAAAAATTTTTTTTCCCATTTTGGAGTTTCAGAGAAAAAAAATGAATTATATATCCTTTCTATCATTTACTCTGATACTTGCTGGAGAGATTCCAAATAGTAATTCGATTTAATAACCTAGATAACAGTGGTTTTGTTTTTTCCCATTTTGGAGTTTCAGAGAAAAAAAATGAATTATATATCCTTTCTATCATTTACTCTGATACTTGCTGGAGAGATTCCAAATAGTAATTCGATTTAATAACCTAGATAACAGTGGTTCTTACCATACAAAATTGCCAATAGAATAGATAAGACAGTCATAAAAAAGAAATCAAATGAAGTGCTTTGGAACAGACTAATTATGTATGAGAGCCAGGAAGAAACTTGCCTCGTACACAGTAAGATAACTGGATTATGCCTTCTTCTAATTTGATAAACCCTAAGTAGAAATGATGACGAGAAATAAGACAAAATGTGCAACAGCTTCTCCATATAACATTTTTTCCTATCCTATTCCTATGTTAAAAGAAATAGATGAAACAGAGGAATATGCAATAGCAGACACTCATTTCTTATTTTTTAACACTGAAATTACACACCCTGAAAAACTGGAAAGACTCTGAAAAGATGAGTATTCATCAGTATGTATTGTGTCACTAAAGCAAAACAGCACTCATTTTCACAGAAGACAATACATGAAATTCAGAATTTCTTCAAAATTGTACTACGTTCTTAATTTAGGAAAATGAGCTTGAAAGAGGTATAAATGTTTCTGCTCTTCTTTAAAGATCTCTCTCATCAGAATTCTCAACTTGTGCCCACACCACTTCATCTCAAGATGCAATATACACTTCACTACTGATTTCAAGTTAACTTTCTGGTGCAAAGCCTATAATGCATATATCTACACTCACTTTTTAAATGATCACAGTGTCCAAATCTATCTCTTTTCCCATTTTTTTCCCCAAGTATTTTTCCCAAATTTTGTTTTGAGTCAGAAAAATTTCTGTATGTCAACACTTCCAATGAAGTATCTTTCACTTGAGACAGTATTTCCTTTATCCTCTCTACTCTTTTGTTCTAAGTGTCTTAGGCAGAAGTTCATACCTGTAGCCTATTTAATAATAGCCGAATTACATTAAAAAACATCTATCTGACCTTTCACTCATCACAACAACTACAGGCAACTGTACTTTGTTGGGAAACATTGCTTTCCTCTTCTCTTGACTCAGCTGGATCTTCTGAATCTCAGCACTTTCATCATCAACTGGCAGCTAAGCCAGCAATGAATTTCTTATTTGCCTTCTACTACAAAATCTATTTCCATAGGCAAGTAAATCTTACATACTGACTTACTATGGTGTTTTCTTCACTGTATTTGGTTTTTGGCATTTATATTTTGCCTCTTTGTTCTAGCTCTTGTACAGATTTCACTATAATGCTGATGTCATCCAGGTCTCCATTGCCCTACTAAATCTCTGTAACGGTCATTTGTTATAATGAAATTTTATCACATGAAATACTATTAAAACAAAGTATCTATTGGTTTGCTTCAGATTTATGGTTAAAAAAATAATCAATAATGATAATCAAATTCTTTCTGCAGAACTTCACTCTATAACCCATAAAATAATGCTACGATTTATACATTTGCTGCCCCCAAATTTATGGTAATTTTTTTCCTAATAATGATAATCTGATTTCATGTAAAGAAATTTATGTTATGACATAGAATACTGCCAGGGTAAGACTGCATGTTGGTGGAAGAAAAGAGACAAAAGCATTGAAATGTAGATAAATGTTTGCACTATTTCCTGGATTGGCTCCTGTTATTTCGTCTTCATAGGAAATAGGAAATAGGAAAACTCCCAAAGGAGAATCTTGCAGCTTGACTCATCATATGCGCAGCATAGCATTGCACAGGCATTCATTAGGGTTAACTGTTAAATGCATTTCTACCTCTTCGATGTACAAGTCTTCCAGTTAGGAACACTACAGCGTCTTACTCTTCAGTGGGATGTAAATTCTTCACAGTAAATTGAGTTTACCAATTAAGTTATAGGGCTGTAAAAAAGGTGGTTAAACTGCATACCTGTTAGCACCACTGTGTGTTCTCCACCACAAGCAACCTTGTTCACCTTTTCCATAATTCCCAGTACGGGCTGTGGGACTCTATTGTTCTTCAGCTGTTCAGGCAATAATCCTAGTTTCCCATTCTCAGGTTCTCCAAAAGTATAGAGCTCACCATCTCCTGTGTAAATAGAGAACAGAGCAGGATTTCCAGCATGAATCAGAAGCAAGGCTGGGTTGTCAAGGCTGCTGCAGACACAAATGAGTAAGATAGAAAAGTGTATGAACATTATGGGACAATGTAACGTATTTGTATAATATCCAAACAGTTGTGCAAAACAATCTGCTTTGATGGGACAAGAAGGGGCTAAATTTTAGCCCCTCTCCAAGATGAGAACTACAAAATTTAGCTTGCAAGGAACCTAGCCAAGGGAAAAACAAAACCATATATATCCCCCTGAGAGGTTAGAATTCCCTCTGTAATCAGTATTTATGTCAACCAAAGTTGCTTCTAAGAATCTCAATAAAACAGAAAATGGTCTTGCATGGAATTTTCATGGAAAATCTACACCTTCTTCTTGTAAGATATATAGAAAAAAAGCAAAATGCAGAGTAGATGACATGAAACTGTGTGGTCTGGACAGCAAGAGAACTGTTTATCCAACAACAGGAATAGAGCAGCGGTTCCATACCAATAATTCCACCAGAATTAAGTTCAAGAAAATACTGAGAGGTTTTTGCAGATCTCTCCCCCTAACTTCTTTCTGATCTGCTACATAATCATACAAGAAGACTCTTCTCATTGACCAGACTTTTTAAGAATCCAGTTCAAAAACTGTTCAATCCCAAATTTGGGTAATTAACTTTATTTCTAGGTTTGCCTTGTTTTATCTTTTCCAATCACTCCCTTTGCTTTTTCATTGCTATGTAAGACTGAATTATTATTAAAGACAGCATTCTATATATCCTTCTATCATAGTTAAAAATGGAACATGTAAAATGTACTTTCTATTGCTATATTTACAATTTATCTACATTTATTTACTTCTTTTACATTTTATCTAATTTTTACATTTATCTACATCTTTTTTTTTTTTTTTTTTACAATTTATCTACATCTATATTTCTGATTTTCCATGCAAAGGGCCCCCAGCCATTCTAACAGGTCAGAGTGAGGTTTAGGTAGAAACCATACCCTACTGCCAGGAAAGCTCCAGGTTAATAGCTGAGTGTTCTCCGCTCCTGAAAAGACCATCTGTGGAGTAGTGTCCTCATATCATACTGTAGCCCACAATCTAAACTTGAAATTACTTACCAAAAAAATCATTGTACACTATTAAGTTAGAAAAAGTTTGGCTTTTAATCCCATTGGATACGACAAAGCACAAGGATAGACAAAACTCTCACATGGAGCTAGTCCAAGATAAAGAAATGTCTAAACCAGTGTAGGAGCTGCTAAAGGAAATGTGAAGAGAGAGCTACAGTTACATAATGAACATAATAACAAACCCCAGACGTATACTCCGTTATTAAAGCTCAGTCAGCAGAAGCACCCATCTATAATATTTTTGGAAACATGTAGATTTGTACTTCAGTACAAAATGTACTTTTACTTTCAGAGAGCTACATTTACTGTTTGCAGAGGGCTACATTTAGTGTCCACAAATTTACAGCATTTAGAGGCACTACTGATGCACAAGTATCTGAGAGATTCTTAGTCAAAAGCGATAAATTCCTTGCCAACGTGAAAGTTGGGTTAACCTTAGAAATGCTGATCTTTCCCCACAGACAGTGAAAAGAGATGAGCTCAAAGAAAGTGTCAAAGCTGAAGCCTTACTTAGGTGTTCAGGATTCAGCATTACAGAAGTCCGTTCCTCTCTCCACTGAGCACAGGCAGAGCAATAAGAAAAGAAGCTCATTAGTAGTTTTCTGTTAGGCTTTGTAAATAATCCTCCATTTGCACAGCTGCTGCATTTGGTGCTTTTTTCTTGCACTTTGTCAGCCACAACTTAAAATTTGGGAATTTAAGGACGATGGCAACAACCAAAAAAATAAGCCTACACAGAAATAGGAAATATGAAAGAGCTAAAAGTAAAAGTATGAATAAAAATGTAAAGTAGAAAAAATGAAGCTGCATATGCATTCTAAAAAGCAAATTAAATTGGTCAAATTATTAAGACCAAGTTAATAAAAACTGAAGGATATGATTTAAAACTGAAGTTTATTAAAACTTGGGCATAACAATCCAAGACAGGAAAGGAATTTTATCTTTTTGAATTTTTAATTCTGATGACAAGAAAGTCAAAACTGGTGTCTGTAAGAAAAGTGTCATTTTTATTGAATCTCCCTGAACTTTACCCTGGCAATACACTCATTTAACATTTCCTTTTGCATTAATAAAAACTGAGCAAGAATTTCAGGTTACAAAACTGCTTCTTAATTTTGTGTAATTATGGGACAACTACTTAGTAATACATTTTCATTTAAGACATCTGCTAAATCCAATAGATAAACTAGATTCAAAATTGTTTTCTATAGAACTCTTTTGCTAGCCGTATCTTTTATTTTTTCTTTGTGGCACTTGGCTCTGGATTACTTTGTGCTGAAGAGTGACTACAGCAGTGGGAGCACAGAACAGAGCAGCAAAGACTGCTGTTGTCAGGACCCTCCATCAGAAAGGCTTTGATTCATTCTGAAAACCCTTAAACTACTATGCATTTTAATAAAGCAGTGCTTCTCCTCCTCTCCTCCCAGAGGAAGTGATGCTGGAGCAGTCATGCTTATCTGTGATTTATGTTACCTTTGGTATCAACAGTCCACAATAAGCAAAAAAAAAAAAATCACCTAAATTATTACCTACTTTCTATGAACGAAGCTTGAAGGATAGGTTTTCAGTGAATTTTAACTACAGGGAGAATCTGAAGGAAAAGGACTTGGGGGTGCTGGTGGATGAGAAGCTTAACGTGAGCCAGCAATGGGCACTCACAGCCCACAAAGCCAAGCATATCCTGGGCTGCATCAAAAGAAATGTGGCCAGCAGGTCAAGAGAGGTGATTCTGCCCCTCTGCTCCGCTCCGGCGACACCCCACCTGGAGCACTGTGTCCAGCTCTGGAGCCCTCAGCACAAGAAGGATGTGGACCTGCTGGAGTGGATCCAGAGGAGGGCCACTAAGATCATCAGAAGGCTGGAGCACCTTTCCTATGAAGACAGGCTGAGAGAGTTGGGGTTCAGCCAGGAGAAGAGACCTTATAGTAGCCTTCCAGTATCTGAAGGGGGCCTACAAGAAAGCTGGAGAGGGACTTCTTACAAGGGCACGCAGTGATAGGATGAGGGGAAATGGCTTCAAATTGGAAGAGGGTAGATTTAGATTAGATCTCAGGAAGAAATGTTTCACTATGAGGGTGGTGAGACACTGGAACAGGTTGCCCAGAGAAGCTGTGGATGCCCCATCCCTGGAAGTGTTCAGGACCAGGCTGGATGGGGCTTTGAGCCACCTGGTCTAGTGGAAGATGTCCCTACCCATGGCACGGGGGTTTGAACTCTATGATCTTTAAGGTCTCTTCCAACCTAAATCATTCTATGATTCTAAGTATGTCTCTTATTTTATGATAAAGTTCATTCAGGACCAAAAAAAAAAAAAGATATTAATCACTTCTTAAGATACATCAGCTTCAAATTTATTTAAATGCATAAATTTATCAATTAACTTGATGATTCTGAAGAAAATGTATGACATATTCAAAGAGTAAAAACTGTAAAAAGGACTTTTTTTCATAACAGCCGAATTCCTGCTTTAAATGGAGAATGGGTCCTACGCCTCAACATAAAGTTGCAACTCAGCACTTCCACCTAAGATTTAGAACCTAACACTGATGGCACAATCATCATTTGTAAAGCTCACAAGACCTAAGAAATTTAGCCTCTGTCCTAGTCAAAGAAACCCCAGACTATTTTATACGGTTTCTGTATTTTCCAGAATCACTTCTGCCTCTCACAACAGCACAGATCCTCCAAGTACTATGCTCCTGGGCCACTAAGGCTAGTAACTTGACTTATTATCTTTACTGAATGCTCTAACTGCACAGAGAGGCAACCAACTGACAATAATTCAATCTTACTCAATGTCAAGCTTCCTGCAAGGTTTCACAGGGCTCAGACTATTAAGAGTAGCCACCCACAATCTATTCACAGAGCTATATTCTCTTCAATGAGATGATGAAACAGGATAGCAGATGTATTTCCCAGCAATCATCATCAGAGGTGTAACCCCATCCTCCCAGCTGTCCTTATTTTTTCTATCATTCTGACACTTTCTTTCCTGTGCACACAAACTAAACCAATAATATCGTAACACTTCATTTACCTGCATGTATCTGTGCAGAAATACCTTTGCTGCATTCTTCTACCCTTCTTTTCTAAGAGGTGCTTTGCAGTCATTTAAACCTGTCTGTGTTTTGTAAGAAACAGCAGATGATACAGCTGCAGAAAAGTATATGCCATTTCATTTCATTTCTAAACTATGGACTGTGTTTAGGGTTCTCTGCTCAGTTTGTTTTTCTGTTTTAGTCTGATCTTCATCCTTATACCTACATTCAGAAATACTCTGAACAGGCTGATACTTTGCAGTTATTTGCAGCAGCATCAGTTTTCTATTTTAAAACAGTAGCCCAATTAACAACAATATCAACTGCAATGTGAGGCTTCCTACAGCCAAAACATTCCATTGACAGAGATTTTATTAGGGATTCTAAGTGAAAAGAAAGGAAAAAACCCAACAACAAAAAGAAACTTCTAATTTTTGGAAGGTAAGGATTGTTTCAATACTCTTGGATTTGCCATATATTTCTAGAAACAAGCTGATAAACCCCCAAAAGCACTTGGGAGCTAACTGCAATTCTCCTCAAAGAGACCAGCACTTCTTTGAAAACATTGCTGCACTGCAAATATTAATCCAATCAGAATCTAATTAATAGGATTAGAGATTCAAATGGCCAAGCTTCCACTGACTTCCCAAACTAATCAAGTTTATTACATTTTTTCAACTTAATAATCCAGCTAACAAAGATAAACCCATTTATTAAAGCAATTTTTGAATACATTACACATCCCTTTAAGGCAAATAGTAGACTAAAAACTATGAAGAATAGCTATCAAGCATAAAAAGAATCCAGTCAAACCCAGATAAATTTTGAGTACAGTATGCATGCAGTACATCTGCATTTTAAGGACATTAAGTACTGCGTGCATTACATCTGCATTTTAAGGACATTCTGTTCACAATGGAACCTGGTTAATTCATTTTCTCCTCTCATATGAGTCACATCCGCACATGTTGAACTTCCCCTAGTGTGGCACATTTTCTGTATCACTAAACTTTAGGTCACAGGAGCATGTCAAGGAAATGGGCAAGTAAATGGGAAGCTATCTTTGCCCCTCAATGGCAAATGCACATACTGCAGATGAGCAAAGAAAAGAGACCTGGCTAGTGGCAAATGAGGGCAGTAGACAAAATAATTGAATCACTCTATGATCCCTTAAATAAATGGAGAAAAAAAAAAAAGAAGCATTTATTCAAGACTAAATTGGTTGAAACCACCTCAAACTCTGAAATTCTGAGCATGGAAGTGTTTGTGGAATGGATGATCTCTAAAATTGATTGTTAAAAATAATGACAAAGTACATTAAAAAAGGTATTCAAGGAACTCAGAAAGCTCTCTATGAAGAGACACCTTCTCAGTGAGAATCTATCTTCACTTTGCTTATAGTAACAGCTCAGGCAGGGGTAACACCAGAAGAGGTCTAATATATTCAATTCCTTTCTGGATCCACAAATGTAACTCTGCTGTGGACACCACAGTAGTGGTTAGATAGTATGGTCTTTTCCTGCTCTTTATCTCCTCCAGTGAACAAATGAGCTACAAATGCTTGCCAAGCTTAATGCTTTCTGAAAAATTGTCCCCTCTTGAGTGAGTGTGGTCAAAGACTAATCAAGCAAGGGTGACTGGCATGGTTTAGTAGTTGAATTACTGTCTGCAAAGAAGGCATTCCAAAAAGCAAAAGTAAGAAAGGTAACAAATCATCTTCATGGAACTACCAGAATTGAGAAACTTGGTGGAGGATGGAGGGGAGGATGGGCAAACACACAGGGGAGGGCTGTAGAACTGAAGTACAAATTCAGATGGCTGAATGCCCTACAATTTCTATAAAACATGCTTTTATCTACTACAGGTTTGCATCTGGATTCTACTCTACTTTTCATTGCCATTGCACTTGGCTTTAAAGCAGTTAAACACCTTAAAGATAAATGCCTACTAAAAACTCTTTTCTAAAACCAGCTGTTTCAAAGAAATAACAACTTTAGTCTAAAAAGAAAAAGAAAAAAAAAAAAAACACCAAACCTGGAATCTACTTTCACCACTTTTTTTCTCAATAGTCACTTATTAATGAACATCCTGCCCTGGAGAGGGCACTCTGCGACCACACTCTGTATTCCAGTAGCCTCATTAACCACCTTCTAGTTTTAATCCAGATAAGACTGTGATCCTAACAGTTTGCTTACCCTGTATACAGTTTATGTCAAATGTAAATATATTAAGAAAGGGAACCATATGGTGCCGTGCTCATCAGTTCACCCAGCAACACGTATCAAGTCCTACATTCTGCAACTATGTTTTATTATTAAAGATAGTATATAATTTGATGCTTTTTTATGTACAAGTCATGTCTAAAAAGTCAAAATGTAGTAGTTCTATAGTACAGTTATATAAGTATATAGTTATATAAGTATAGTACAGATAAGTTACAGGTTTGAAAGCTTTGTATCAACATTCTCCCATTTCTACCATAGTAAAAGCAACTACAATCTAAAAAAGTTCCTCTGGTATACTTTATTGATTTTGAGGGAATTAATACAGATTATACACTCACCTGAATAGTTCAAATTTAATTTATGGAAATACAGAACCACTTTATTTTCCAGGTATTTCTTCCAGAATATGTATTAAAAGCAACACTACTCACTTTAATTTCTAGTACACAAGATAAAATCATACAATAAAAATACACAGCAAACTCCTTGTGTGAGGCAAACTTTCAAACATACTTCAAGGTATAATTCAATGGCCAAATGGCAATTATTGGGAAAAAAACCCTAACCCCATAATGTGAATATTCCAAATACTCCATAATTATCTATTTTGCTATGTTCTACCACCCCTCAGAGGCAGAATACTGAGAATGTGAATGACTATTCTGAGCCAGTCCAACAAGCCCTACAGGCAAGTGTTTTCCATTAGTGAGAAAAGAATCCGCATAATACTAAAAGAATCACCATTTAAAAAAAAATAAAATAAAATCTTTTAACAGCATAGTACCTTGACTTCCTTCCTCACTAGGAAGAATGTAAGAAAAAGAAGGTAACTACATTTGTATTCAAATAGACTCAACTTGCAGAACTTCCAAATTCATAACTTAATGGCTAACTTCATAGCTAAAATAATGTGTGACTATGGCACACTTAGATTAAATGCAAACCCCTTGGTTGTAAACACTGGCTGGATATACACTGACACTAGTGCAACAGAAGATCAACTCAGTAAAAAAGAACCTGGATGTCCAACACTAAATTTCTATGGTAGTTAAAGCATCAGTCAAATAAAACTAGCAGCAAGGGCCTAAAGGAAAATAATAAAAAAATATTTCTCTTTTCACCACAAAAGAGGCCATTTGCATGTCCATAGTTTAAGCAAAATAGATTGAAGCCCAATTTGTGCAGGATTTGCAGATACTAAGGCTGAAAGTTAAGATTTTCCATCTTGCACCCAGGCCTGTTTAAACAGTAACAGGTTCAACAACTCCCCGTTTCCACAGGTAATAACCATTTCATCTTCTAGTAATATTTTAAGAGGCTCCATTTCTCAGCTGCTACCCCAACCCTTTTTTCTCATACTCCTCCATTAAAAGTTCCCGCTTCCTTAGAGCACTTGGCACACACTGTTCTCTCCTGGCTCTTAGAAGCTTGGCCTTCAACCCTTCTTCTAATGAGAGCTTTTGTTACATCCCACTGCAATCTTGTCAGAGCTTCTGCTCTTGGCTTTAAGGCAGAAATACACATCTTCTTCCTAGACCCTTGAAGTAAGGATCTTTTTTCTTGTTTTTTTTTTCCATTTATTTTGAGTTCAGGAAGCTGTAGATTTCCGAACAGGTGCTGAGCTCATGATCAGTCACAGGCATCTCTTTCATTCACTGTTAGAAAGCACTTATAAAAGAAGTTGAACGCTACCAGCATAACACCTAATTAGTATTTGTCTAGCATACGAAGCTCTCATTCTGTTAATAGCATATTCTCAGAGAGCTGTATAGATATTGTATGTGGAAAAGTAACATTTATCAAGTAATCTCAGAAAAGTATCTGACGGAATAGTTCCTGGTTACCCAGTAAAAGCTTTCCAATCAAAACTATTGATCCTTTGAAATCTTTAATTACTCTGAGGGGACTAAACTGTAAAGCTAAATAAAGTAAATCTATACGGCTGTGAGGAGTTCATGGCTGCTCATATACAATACCATCAGTACTGAGTGATAAATTTACCCATACTGGCATTATTAAAAAATGAGCCGCATCATCACTTTGGAACCAACACACAGGTGGGAAGAGAGAGGTGGAAACCAAGAGAGATGGGTTGCTTTGGAGATCAGACACCAACTCACTGTAACATATCCCTCTCCTCACATCATGTATAGCCTTGTTTAACTGGCTTCAAAACTTAAAATTTAATACATAACATCAAACTTTGACGACAATCTTGGACTACTGGCAAATGAGATTAATTTTTCCGCAAGACATAGTAAATCTATTCAATATTTACATTTCTAGAGAAAACAAAGTTGATTTGATCATCACAAAAATGAACAATCTCCATAAAAGTTGGATTACTGAAACCATGATATTAATGCACAACATTTGTCATAACCTTCATGAATATGAACTGTGGCAAGATAGTAATTCTTTCTAATATACTTTTGCACAACAATGTGCAAATGCAGAAAACTAACTGCATTTTTTTCTCACAAAATTGTTAGTTCATCAATAATATACAATTATATAGTAGATTACATACAAGTTTCCCAAATAAATCAAGTAGAACCATGTTTTAGAGAACCTGTCTCTGGTAAAATCTCCCAATGTGATACAAAACTATGTAGATTACTGTCTGCCACTTGGCAGCTTTTAATAACTATGGCATACCTAGTTTCAAAAGTAATGAATGCCTCATTAGCTACCTATACAAATCCAATAAATTGAAAGCTATCGACTTGTCTCCACTAACTGCTATTCCCATTCTCTTACCTGTTATCAAGGCAGAGTGATAATATCCACAGGATATAGAAGAAACAGGTTTTCCAACATCCACTTGACAAGGGACACTGACATAGGCTTTATCAGCCAAGCCAATCTGACCTTCTGAATTGTCACCCCACACAAAAAGCTGCCCATCCTCTAAAATGAAGACAATAGACAGTTAACAGATTTAAAACCAAAATTAATAAAAAGTTCGTCTACCCATTTAAGCGCATTTCATAAACTCTGTGTATGACACTACTAAATGTTATGCTTTCAGGGACATAAAAAGGTATTTAGCACAATGCAACAAAACAGTCTGAAGTAAGAGGGTATCCCTTAAGCTTTTCAAAAGTGACACAGAACACTTATTAATCAACTGACATTAGACCATAAATAGCAACAGGAAAATTACTATGTAAAAACATTCCTTCAAAAAGACTAAGATTGAGCATATATAACAACGTAGTTGCCAGAGGTCAGTAAGAAAATATTATGGTGTGTTTAAGGCATCTTCTCATTTCTACTAGCAAGTCATCACTTCTTCATTTTCCAAACTTATTCTCTGTTCTGACTTTGGTACACATTCCACTTATTCTTGCCTTATCTTTCAGTTCTCTTCGCAGGTGATTATATTGCCCAGCTTCATTTTGCTCTCCTTAAACTATCACATTAACTGTTCAGGTTTATTAAGACCTGCCTCTGTTGACACAAAGACCAATGGCAGCAGCAAAAACAAAAAAATAGGTAGCAAACAACATGAAAAATCACTAGACTTTTCGAGAAGAGATGAGGTCTTCTCTCTGCATGTTTCTTATTAGTAGGAAGTTAAGTTGTGAATAAAAAAAAATGTACCATCTGCAGTGCTACTGAGACACTGTTAGGAACTAAAGTCATTCAAAGTTGACTTACAAATCTCAGGAGAACATTAACAATTGTCACAAAAAAATATAAACCAGACAAGCAGGCTAGCATCTCTCTCACACACTCTTATGATCTCTGTCACATTCTGAAATGACAACCTCAGTAAGTTATCCTAAACATGTACAAAACCAGCTGCTTTATAGCAGAACTTGGGGAAATACATTATAGGGTAATAAAGGACCACCCAATGGCTTTCAAGGGCTGAATGTATTATAACTGCGTGGACTTCAACATGTCACAAGTGTATAATTTGCCACTGGAGAAACAGGTCACAGGTTAGGCCTCTCTCAGAACTAGAAATGGCACAGCTGTGTAGCCTGTACCACTAGACCAAAATAGTTGCAGTAAGAAGTACAATTAGAGAAACTAATTTTTCGTAAGTTCATGCTTTGTCGCTGTCTTCCCTTGAAATAAACTGAAGATCTTTTCCATTTTGAAGGTATTCATAATGTCTCTCCTTTGTAAGGGTTCCTACTAAACTGCTACAGGTTGAGATCCCGTTGCCAGCCATTGTTCATAAAAAGGGTCTACTTTCACAAAAAATTATAGGAAGTTAGTGACACTGACACTGCCACCCCTTACCAGATTGTGTTGAAATAGGCAATTGGCTATCAAAAAACAACTACGGTTACCAGGGAAAGAAGACAGGGAGGCATAGAAAATACACCCACATATGCAGACAGAATGCTGGAATAAATGCTTCCCTTGAACACCAGGCTGGACACACATAAATAGATTTTATTCAAACTGGAAGATGCTCAGGGATTACACTGAGGCCATGACACTTATAAAAAAATAAAAATGTGCATAACAAAGCTGGGTGCAAAGATGTCAAAGCACTTATGGAATCAGAACAATGCTGCATTGATACACTGACTAAGTGAATCTGGTTCAGCAGTGAAATAAAAAGAGATGTAATATTGTAAGCAGGACTTTTTTTTTCTTTTTTTAATACAGTTGCTCTTATGAACATAAGTGTATGTAAGTCATAGTAACTTTTATTTTAATACATTTATTCCAAGTAACTAAAGCCAGTCTTTCAGCTTCTATGCATATACAAATACGTTTATGGCTTTGTTAGAAACTTACACAAACCTACATAGACGTACATGAGACTCAGTAAAGTGTTGAATTTGCATCTTTATTGAGGATGAGTTCACTCATAAATAGATTTTATTAGCGGTTGCTCTTACCAGTTACTGCTGCTGAGGTGTATGATCCAGCTGCTAGCTGTTTGATCTTGTGCTGGTTGGTAAAAAAACTAATTAAATGAAATGTGGTCCTTTCCTCTGTGTCACCTAATCCCAACTGACCTTCGCTGTTACCTCCAGCAGCATACACATTTCCTTTTTCTGCATACAGAAAAGCACATGTTATACACAGAATAAAGACATTCTTATCAGTGGTAAAAAGTCAGAGAAAATAGAGCAAGTCATTTAACTTTCAATGGAAAAACATTACGGAAAAGTTGGGGTCTACTGCCCTGAAATATCCTCGGGTTGACACTAGCAGTTTCTGTTGTAGCTAGAAAGGAGGCTTTCCTGCACATGCTTGGATTAGAACTTTCTAAATGCCTTACATGTACTTAGATTGACTGCGTTTCCCACCACTTTGGAGACTGATCTAAAAAGTGAATACAAATTCAAGTTCTGCAAGAGTTCTGAGAAAATGATGACTAGTAAACCTGGAAGCCAGAAAAAGCTCCGTCCCCAAATAATGTATATTTTAAGATAATGCAGGAGGAAAATGGTGAATGATGTCACAAGCAAGAAAACTGAAATTGTATTAGTACATAAATTAAAGAGACGCATAATTTGATAGTTTTGAGTACTGTGAAAGAAACATATTTTTGCTTAGGTTTTTATTAGAAATATTTTACTCATTTTAACATTTAAATAACTTGATTTAATTATCTAGGTCTTTATTTTGTTTGAGAATCTCAAAGATGAAGTTAAAATTGATGATTGATATCTTCAACTTAAAGTAACTTTAAGATTTATATTTCTAATTTTAGTATGTTTCACATCTAAAGTGCTCATCCATGATGAAAAAGATAAGGCCCATTAATAACACAAATCAGAGGCAAATGTGATAAACAACTGAGGTACAATTTGTAAATGATCCTTGCTGTATAAATGGCGACAAATTATCTAGCCAGTGTGTACACTAAAAGTGACTAATATTTACCCTGTGCAGTCTTGCATACTCAACTGTTATTAAAATGTTCTGTTTTATTCTAATAGTCTTATTTACAGTGCTCAGGGTCTCCACATATATAAACCTCCTAATAATCAAACAATCCTCTTTATAACATTACTGCAAGCTAAAGGATTGTAACTATAAAGATGGCTATTCCATTACATAAATTTTAGAAGCATGACAAGAATCTGCATCAATTATCTGTATGCTGTCTCCCTAAAAATTTATTTTTTAGTTTAAATTTGCAGTTTATTTATTTATAACTTAATAAAGCAACTTGTCATTGAAATAGCAGACTACCTTGTCTAACCAAAATGCAACAAAATTTGAAGACTTGAAAACATTCAGTTCTACTATATTTACTCAAATATATAACTTCACCCTAATAAAGATAAATTACTTGTCAAAGGTAAATTTGAGTACAGATATATAAAAAATACTAATATACCTTTACAGGGCTTAAATAAAATATTGGTAATTGTTAACCACACCTCAAACACCAGCAAGAAAATTTTTCATCTGTCTACTACTAGCAAACTCCTATATAAGATTATTTTATAAACACATTGTCTCAGAATAAATCAAGCACTCAAAGAACTGGATATCAAACCCCCAAGTTTAACAGCCCCATTTTCATTTATATTTCTTTCCTCAACACTCCTGGGGTTCCTAATGTAATTTTTCATGAAAGCAAAGGAAGAAATCTATCTTTAATATGTATATAATATAGGTTACATACCTGTGTAAACTAAAGTGTGGTTTCTTCCACAAACAGCAAGTTTCGTTTTTTCTGGTTTTAAAGCTATGAATTAAAGCCAAAGGGGAGGTGGAAAGTTACAAAGAAGCTGATATCTGGTTCAACAACAAAATGTCCTATACTCTAGAGAGAGCTCTGTTTTTTTTTCATATTTTTACCAACAGAATGATTACAAGATTCGTTGCCCATTTGAACCTAGCACATGACTTATTAAATCAGGATTCACCCAAGACAAGAAAACAGATATAGACCTTAAAAACTTAAAACTGACACTCAGGTTAATTTGATGATGGCTATTTCATCCCAGCGTCAAGTTCCCCAGAATTTACCTTCTATGGGATATGCCTCAAAGAATATATCACATTGCAGGACAAAATGCATGCTTAAAGCTGTCTTCAGTTTTCATTAACTCCTTAACTATTCTTTTTCATGTTTTCTTTTTTTTTGTTTGTTTTCATTAACTCATTAACTATTCTTAACTCCCTCTTCCACTTTTCCCACTATCTTTAACATTTAAAATCATACTGTTCTTTTGTCTTGTCAGCCCTATCTTCTTTTGTTAGGCACAGCGACCTTTTTTGCTAGACTTTTGCTCTGCACTGCCCTCTTAATGATCACTAAACTCAATTGCCACGGATAGTCCTAGCTGGACCAGTGCCTAAAATTTTTGCATACACTATCCTGTCTCAATTTCAGCTCAATTGCCACCCACCCATTAAATGTACTTCTCTGCAGTCTGGTCACTGTGAAAGACTGGGAAATATAAGTGAGAAAAAGAGAGGATACAAAGATGCTTTTTCTCCCATGGCAAGTGCACTCCATTTCAGGAACAGAGGAAAAAAATCCGAGTTTTCCATCCTCTCTCCAATTACCGATCGTTGCCAACAATTTATCTTCTCTCAGCCATGTCCATCTGCCCTACACAATGCTCTTAAACCAGCATTATTTTTACATAATATATCTTTAATTGCTTTTCCACTGCACCAGTCCATGACAAAGCCAACAACCATCATCCCTTTCACAAACCCTTTCCTTCCAAATACTTTCATCAGCTCCATAACGTTCAGATTAAAGTCCTTTCTGCCTTCTACGAAGTCACTGAATAAATCTATCTACTTAAGCATGAACTGCCTCTGGTCTATTGCAAAGACACAAACATAAATTACCCAAATTCAGGTTCCTGCCTATCCTACCTGACGTTTACCACTACCACTAGGCTGGACCACTTCCAATGTTGGCGTTTTCCTACAATATGAATTTGCTGCTTTATATCCCAAAACTCTGCCTCAAACTTCAGAGATTATCTTAATCAGCTCCTCAGAAGCCCGAGTCCCCTAACCTTCCTCCCACTCAGGCTTAATCAATTGTATTTGATGAGCCAGGCTATATTTACAACGCTGCTGGCAATTTTTCATAACCAATTTCATTAGTCTCTATTCAAGCCTCAGAAGATATTTTCTTAGAAAACACGCAGCCACGACCACTTGGCCCCAGGCAGAAACTGAAATGTGTCCTTGCAACCCCATTCCCAAAGCCAAGGGATGACTGAAAGCTAATGAGAAAAGCTCCAGAACCTTCTCCTGCTTGCCTACTGCTAAGAGAAGAAAGATACGCCCCTTGTGACTTTTTTCAGTGGATGACAGGTCTGGTTTGAATTGCTGTGATCTTCTCTTCGTCTTTTATTCTCCATTGCAATTTGACAGTAAAAACAAAACTTGACACCAAATCCATTTAAGCCAAGGCAAGAATCAATCTCTCACATGGCTGACAGAAGATGTGAACCTGAGAGTAGCTGCATTCTCCCTCTGAAGTGAAATAGAGAGACGAGCAGATAAAGGACAGTAGAATAAACTAAATCAGGAAGAAAAGAGTTTGAACAAGCAGGATAATTTGCTTTTAACAATAAGCTAACAGATTGATCTGCTGGCACAAAGCATGAAGATAAGCATTTAATGGTGAAAAGAAATGTGTTAATGGGATAGATCTGACTTGACATAAGTAAAGGGATAGGGAAAAAATATTGACTTAGTTTTGTTTGACAAGATAAAAATGGCCAGGAAAGATCAAGAAGATAACACTGCAATTAAAATGTATTTTACAACACATGAAAGAATACGGGCATTTATTTTACTGCTTCATACAAATATATTAACATTTATACCCCCTTGGGCACTTCTTATACCTGCTAAAAATGTAGCACTACTTGTGGAAAGTTCCTGATAGATCTTTTTTATTTCTAAAGGTACTAAGACAAAAGTGATTCAAAGATTACACATGCTGTTGGAAATCTGATTTCTAATGCATAGCCAACACTGCAGAAACCAGGCATCTGATTGATGTCCACGCAATTACAGTGAAGACATGGTTTGTTAGAAAAGGCAAATATTACTGAAATGAGAGCCCTCAAAAAAGACAAGATTCTTTGTATCTGAAGTAATCTTCAGACAGAAAAGGACCCAGAATCTGGAACTGATGGAAAATCAATCAGGGATCCTTTTAAGCTACCTTTATGAGCTTGTGAAGTAATATGTTACACATGATGAGCAGAGAAGGCAGAATCAGTTATTTTGGAACTGCATCTTAGAAAGTATCTTTTCACAAGGGTATCCTTTCAAAAAGACAAAAAAAGAATTAAACAAACCTTTAACACATGTTGGTTTGCTGACAGTCTTCTTTGATCCTAGTCCTAACTGGCCCCAGTTGTTACTGCCGAACACATACAGTTTACCATTCCCTAAAAAAAAATACCCAGTTAGAATCCATACAAGTAAGTGAATATCTCTTACAAGACAAGGTAATCATTCTACATGACACTATTTATTACTTTCTTTTTAATGTAAGGTTCAAGATTAGGCAATTAGGCAATACTTAAGTGTAAACAATAATTAATGTCCTTGTGATTTTTCAGTATAAAAGTAGTAATTGCATTATTTAAGTAAGAAATGCACAGCCACAAGAAGGAACAAAAAGCAAAACAAACATCCCCTCCTTTAATCACAGCATAGATGAAGTGCTTTTCAGAAAATAAAATGTTGGACTCTTGGACAGACTCTGCAGTTCAGAAACCACAGTATATATGGGCTGACTTAGAAGTAACAGCACATTTAACTGAACATCTACATCTTTTATCCCAAAGACAGGAATGAATAGTGCAGCTATATAATTAATATAAACAAAAATTTTTAACATTCAGCTTATTTTATTATTTAGGAGGGCTATTTCTTTTACTGCTAAATGTCTTCTCTTAAAACGGTTTACAAATTTGTACTTTTACAGGACATAGTTTCTCATAAATTTTCCAATGTGTTCACAAATTGTATGAATTTGTTACTCTGCCTATAAAGAAGGAATGCATAAAACCACCATGCAATCAGTGAGTTTTGTAAACCTAAATACAAACATTAGGTTACAAATCTTCAACAGAAGTAGTGCTAGAATCATATTTCGGAAACTGGTATGACATGCAGGTTTGGCCATTACAAACAATGAACTGTTGTAATTCCAAATAACTGATTTTTTTTAAGAGGATGGTATATGAACTTTCGTCATCAGCCAAGCAAATTAGACAGCCAAAAGTGATGAGTAAAAATATCTTAAAATGAATTCATTCCATTTCATTTCATTTTTTAAACCATTACCTTTGGTAAAGCTGTGAAGTCTACACACAAAGATAAAATTCTTGTTCCAACAGAAATCTTTGCAAAACAATAGAAACTGATTTGTCAAAAAAGCCACCTTTTTATAGCTGTTGAAATGAGTTTGTTTACTTTTGATGAAGGTCTGCAGAGCTTTGTGAGTTAGACTCCATCACAAGGCTGTCACACAAATAAACTCTGTCACCCTAGCCATCAACAATTACCATATGATCACAACACATAATGGCAATTCCACATAATAATGCCAAAATATCATGGCTGTTTGTACTTCAGTAGATTCCCAGTGAAGGTTCTGAATTTGATTTACAGAGACTTCAAAATATGATACTGAAATGTTTAAAATATAACAAAAATACTTACTCTGTTAAAAAACCCAAACATTTATTTTCTTAAATATGACCACATAGCTAAAAAAAACCAAACCAACAACAACTAACAATAGACTAGTACCCAAACTCCCAATCAAATTGTTAGATTTGACAATTTTTGGAACATGGGGCTATATGTCAATATTATGTCTTTCCAAGAAAGTTGGAAGGGAAGAAAGTCTGATGTCAAGTCTACGCTCGTGATGCTTTACTAATAGCATTTATACCACCATCCCAATTTTCACAATGCAATTACGTCCGAATACATGCAGAGCTGTCTGTCACTGAGAGCAAAATGCCCCTTAACAGAAAGAATTTTTATTAGCAAATGGCATCCTATATTGGTATATGCTTCCTTGTATCCTTGTTTATACTATTAAACTGCCTTTATAAGACAGCAGCACTCCTGTGGGAATACGATGCCAAGCTGCTGTAATTCAATTTGAGCGCACTCCCTTTTATCCATTCAAAATTCCAACAGGTCATGCTTTTCATCCTATAATCTGCTGCTTCTTATACCGCTCTTTAAATTCTCAGGCATTGCTTTGTAAGTCAAGTAGCTTAACAAGATGAGAGGAATTTTTTTACATTCTTTAATAACTGAGTGACAGCTTTTATAATTTCAGGCTTCCAACAATTAGCAGTATAACAGAAAATAAGAAAACGAGAAAGTAGGTCATTCAGGCAGTGAATGAAAACTAATAGGCATACAGAGGAACCTAAACAAATGCCTGTAATGACACAACTTTTCAGGGTCTGTACAGCAAATCAGGTTTTGGAGCAGACATGATGCAATCTAAGTTGGCCAGGAAACATGATAGAATTTTGTATTTTCCTACATTGCCCTATTTTCATAATTGCATACTGGGATATCTCCAGTCATCACCACAGATGCACTGAAGTGAGAACTAATTCAAGAGCAGAGAAATAGGCAAAAGGATCATATTTCAAAACTTGGCAAACTTGGACTGCTCTTGGGTTTTTGCTTCCGCTTTGGTGCTGACATACAGAGACTGTGGCGATCTGCCATCTGGAAGGGCTGCCAGAAGACAGGTCCAGCAAAGTAAGATTATGACTCCAGGCAGCAGAAGGGAAACAAGAAGATAGAACTAAAGTGACTTCTCGGCCTGTTCTGGTGATGAAAACATACTTCCGACACCAGCCTCCCCCTTCATCCTGACACAAGACTGGAGTATTTCTCCAAAGTACATATGCTTATCACTAGCAGATGGTTCACCAACGTTAATTCAGGGCTATTAGGGAAGCCACGAGAAGCTTACATCTTTAGGAACAAAGGTTTTGCGACAGACTTCAGGAAGAGAACGTCTCCTAACCAGCACATTTCTCACATAAGTAGCTGCTATCACAACTGTGAGTCCTGGGATCCCCACCTGCCACATGCTCCCCTGGTTCATGAAGCTCTACTAAAGGCACTCATTCAGCAGCTGGGAAATACCAGCTAAAATCCTCAACACAGTTCATGAAAATAGCAGCCAAGTATTCTTGTCACCTATGTTTAAAGGTATGTTCTAAATATTCCCCCCCTTGCTTTCTAAATTATACTAGTGTGGGAGAGAAATAAAATGGGGAGACAAGGTACAGACTTTGAGCATTTATTACATGATTCTATTGAGAAGCTATATTCAAAGAAAATGTAAGAGGTAGTATTTTGGACAGAGTATTTTATTTATTTGTGCTACTTTGTGAAAAAACTATGTTAACAGTTCATTTAAAATTCATACGCAATTCAAATACATCTCACAAAAATGGAAACAACATCAGTTTTGTTAGGCAAGTCACAATATTCTCAAAATAGAAGCTTTATTGAGCAATAAGAATAGTCACACTTAGGACATTTAGCATCACAGAAACACAGGCAGTGCAGCATGTTCCTTGCTCCTACATGTATCAAAGATAACAGAAACATGTACTAATCTTTCTAATTTTCCCCTTGCAGTTGGTGTGAAAGATACTGTGCCATGTTCTGCTGGACTGCGGGTAAGCAGAAAGACTAGAAGGAATCTGGTGTCCAAAGACCTGGAGAGATTCCAAGGTCTCTTTGGTGTAAATTTTCGAGTATTTAACGCCTTATGAAACTGGAAATTATGAGCATACTCTCTTGTTCTGGTTTCACATGCACCTCTTTTCACTCCTACTTTGACACTTGATACTTCTTTCTTTCTTTCTATCCTGTTGCACTGGGGGCTTCAATTCTCTCCAGAGCTCTGAGTTCGGAAAATGTGTCTTCCATCATCACCCATTTCCCTCTTGTGAACAGGATCAGTCTCTTTGATCAAATGTGGGCAAGCTGCCTAGGATACTCTAATCAAGGCAAATAAACAATAAGACAGCTGTTAACTTTAAGAGTTTCCTAGAAAAGGAAATTAATAGAAAGGTACTGGGAAGAGATTCTTAAAAATATGCATAATATCACTTACTTCACACCAGCTCCCAACAGGATAAATAAATTGTTTTCCAAAGCCTGCAGTTATAGAAGATGCAGGGAGTAGACTGTATTCTTGCACCAACAAATATATAAATGGGGCAATAAACATTATTAAACATACTACAAGTGATGCTGGAAGATATACTGCTCGTGATTGCATTAAAGAATTAAAGAAGACAACTGCTTAAAAAAATTCCTGCTTGAACATTTTAATGAAGATTATGCTGAAGGTAGAGAGCAAATGAATAAAGAAACACAAATTTCAATCCCAAACTCCAAAACTGGAGAAGGAAATGTTTCTCTGACTAGCTCAGAAGCCATCTCAAAGTCAGCAAGTAACTATCACTGGTCCTTTCTATTCCAACACACAGCAAAGTATGTAAATAAAATTTTGCCTCTAACTCCTAGTCCAGAAAGCCAAAGAACAGTGTTTTATATTTACTTCAAACTTTTCTTCCTGAAAGTTGTATGGAAATATTGATGCTGGATTAGATGAAAGAAGTACTTGAAAATTTCTGACTATTTTGTTTGAATACTAAATGTTAGTTCCTGTACATTTTCTTCATTTGCATTCAGTCAGGATTCAGCGCTAAATGTAGCTGTCTCTCCTACCCAAAACCTGCTTTAATCAATGATTAGTACCAGTCTGGGCGATTGTTTTACTTCTGATTTTTGGGACATGTTAGTGTAAACCTGACATATCTTCTATTAGATTTGAATTTACCCCCTATTCCCACTGTCCTCTACATAGATAGGTCCCACTACCTCTTCCAGAGGAAAAGAAAGGAGGTGGGAATTTTGTTACCTGTAAATAAGGACTGAAAATAAAACGAAGCATGCATTAACACACACCTGCTTGAGATACTCTTCCTTCCTCAGTGCTGTTTGTCTTTTACCTCTTCCAGATCAGGTTCAGCTCCTGGTTTCCCACAAGGTCTGTACCCTTCTCAGTAAACTCATTATGGGCATGCACTTCTGGAGCTTTTATTCTAGGTGTTACTGCAGTTCAATGTCATTCACCAAGGGCTGTAATTCCACTGTATTATCCAACTCCATCTAACAGCACAAAGGTGAGGTCCACACAGCCATGCGCGGGTGCGAAGAACAAGTGAGGGACAAAGGTTTTCTCTTCCCCTTCTTCACTTTTTTGTACAACTCTTGCTCTTCATCAATCAGTATTTTACCCTCACTTTTGCCTCTACTTTACAATGTCCAAAAGAACCTTTTGGCAACAAAGAAATCTTGTACTCATGCTTCTACACTTCCTTCTCCTCAAAAGCCTTGAGAAAATAAAGATCTAGAAGTTTCTCTGGTGATGTATCTGCACAGGAAACCAGCAAAGGCCAGCGACAGAGACATTCTTGAAACATGCTGCTACATTAGGATAACAGGGAAAAGGGGAGATAGTAGAGAAATTGTGCTGCATGCAAAACTATGCAAGTTGACTTCTTCAAAAGCTTTTTTAAGTGGCTCCTATTACAGTGACATGGGAATTAGGGGATTGTTGCTGATGAGGGTAACAGTGCTGGCACAGGCTGGAGGAACCCAAGGAGGCAATTTAAATTGACCAGTCTAAATTAAGAATTCTACTAGTGTTATTTCAAACTAAGTGTGGGCATCCAAAAGGATATATAAAAAAAAAATTCAAAAGAAAAATTCCTCATTGCCCTAGGTTACATTCTGATTAATTTTATGCAACATGCAATTTAATAGAACTGGCTCAATCCAGGAAACAGTGTCAAGTTTTGTTCAAAATAAACTGTTCATGGATAATTCATTTCCTATGAAGTTAGGCTTGAAAAATGAATTGTATAATTTCACTTCAAGATGTTCTGCAGTCCATGAAATCTATACTCTTTTTTTTTTAATCATGCCTTGAATTCTAAAAATCCATTCTAAAAATCCAGCATCTTCAACTTTGCTCAGGAAAATAACACAAAACCCTCAGGAAAATTATTGAATGAGAAATGACCAATTGGGCATTGATGAGGAATAAAAACATTGCAATAAAAGAAATCCTGAAAACACGTATATAAATTTCATAACAACAGAGTCTTATTGTCTATCAGCAGTTGATTGTCTATACAATTGACACACATGCCCAGCAACAAAAGAGTACTCCCTTCCATGGAAAATAAACTGAACAAATTCTTCAAGAAATATTGTTTCCATCATTTCAAAGAAATGAAAATAAACATTATTACTGCTCACTGTATTGCATCTGAGCTTCTTTGAATGCTTTTGCAATTTATTTCCAATTTTAATAGGATTTTCTGAAGTTTTTTGAGTTGCTCTTTCAAAGGCTATTTTCAGTTGACAGCTAACTGCAATTCAAATTTTCATCTCAGAGATACAACTTTAGCTATTGTTTCAGGCAGATTCCTAGTGAACCCGTTGATTGCGTTCAACAGATACCGTTTACTTTCACAACACAAACCTCTATATTTAAGATTGCCTACTAACCACCATCAGATTCCCAAGAGACATTCACGCTGAACAAAGTCACTCTTACTTTAAATCCTGTGTGAAACATTCAGTTATTACAGATTCCCTCATGACAGTTCTTGGTCACGTCTTGTGAAAACCTTCAGTGACCTAACACTAACTTCAAAGACCTTGATAGTTCCCACAGAACAGTCCTCTCTCCTCTCCACAACCTCATTTGGTACATTACCTTAGGATCCAAATAAGAACCATAACTTTCCAAGCTGTCCAAGTATATAACCTTTTATCATACAGTCCATTTCTTATACTGACCTGTAACAATAGCAGTATGTTCATCTCCACATGATATAAGTACAGGCTTGTCATTTTTGAACCAGAACTTGCTAGGAATATCTTCAGCAAACTTGCTTTTTCCAAATGTGAAAACAGCACCTGATTCTAAAACACAAAGAGATAATGTCAATTTTAGTGAAAACAATTTTTGCCTCACACATTTGGAAATCATCATTTCCTAATAATACAATTGCACATTGTAGTTTCCTATCGTTTTCTTTTTTTAAAAAAATGACTGAAACATTTTCTTCTATTATGTTTCACCAAGACTACTTTCACAATTCAGTCCTTCCAATTCTTCTCAGAATCCTCCATGAATTTCCTAATAAAGTAGGTATTGCTGCTGGTATATTGTGTTCTGAGGACACAATAATTTATTTTAAAGTAAATTAATGTACTTTATGGCTACTCTCTTGGAAAAACTACTAGGTGTGTAACAGAAAGAATCATGAACTCTGAATAACTGCCCCCAGAAAGTAAAATAAAAAGTTCATCCTGAAAGCAGGGCCAGACAAAGAGTTCTCACTTATGTTTACACTAGAATTCAAACAGGTTTTCCAAATTGGATTGGAAAGAGAGAGACACACACTGTAAAGAACTAACAGGCTCCAAACTGCCCACTCTTCCTCACCCATCTGAAAAGACATATGTGCCCTAAAAATGACCCCCTAAAATCAAAACTCTCAGCCTTCAAATCACAGTTTGGAACAACAGTCTTTGATCCAAAGACCATGATCTAAAAAACCCAAACAAAACCACCCCAAAATAAACTCCAGACACTTCTTCTGCCCTTGTAATCTGACTAGTTTTCTCAATTCTTCCCACTTTCAAAAGTGGCAACAATGTTGTTTCAAAACATAGAAAGTTAACTATTCACTCACCTTTAGGTTAACCATACAGCTTAACATAGAAGATATTAATTTTACAGGAAAATAATCAAATTTACAGATTAAATAATTTGCAAAAGCCACTCAAACAATGTGGCAAAGCACAATTAGACCTCCTATTTTAAAGTGTCAAACCTTGTGCTTTAAGCATTGAGTCATTTTTTGGAAAAGGAAACATACAAAAACCCCAAACCTTTTCCTGGCAGGCTTTTTGTTAACGTGTAAGTTGTGATAACTCAAATACACACAGTGACACCAGATTGCTTCTGTAAATTACATATAATTTGACAGTAACATTGAAACATCTTCATGTATTTACTTTCAATGAAAACAATTAATAGCCCGCACCCCAGTTCCAAAGCCCAAAGTTTTCTCTTGAACTGTAAATTTGATGTTCATTTAGAAGTGATTCTTTAATGTAAAACTTTCCCATATTTGCAAATAACGTTATTTTATGCATCAGCTTTAGCAGATATTTATAAAATTGCACTTCCCACCTCTATAGATGTGCTTAACTTTCACTGTTTTATTAAAAACAAGCCCTGCGCAGACAAATTCAAGCCTTTCTTTAAAAGGCTTGGCTTTTTCCTCATTTTAGTATGTCTAAGGTTATAGATGTTTTTCCTCATTTTATGAGGAAAAACATCTATAACCTTAGACATGCTAAAAGGCATCTTAAAACTCGATTTTAAATTTTAATCTCTAGCCAGGCAGCCCTGCTTTGTACTTGAACACGCTTACAGTGGAGCTCTCTGGTTCATTTCTTTTTCTTTCAGAAGAGTGAACGTGAATTTTTTGGGGTATCTTCTTAATTCAACATATAGGAAGAAAAGCAGACAATCTAACTCACACACGTCCTTTGTATCTCATTCATTTCACGACCAAAACCCAATGAAATCCTGCCAGTTCACAAGACTCACACGGAACATATAGGAGGTTTGTGCCGTCCCGGCACCGAGACCGTAGGTCAAACCAGGGGCCAAAACTCATTTACTAACTGGAAAAAAACCACCAAAACAACAGCCCAAACCCAACCCCCCTGTCCGCCCAGCGCCGCACCGCTGCGCCGTGCCGGTGACGACAGCAGGCCTGTCCCCCGTCTAATCTCTGACGTCAGCGAACGTGTTTCTGCCGGAAGACACCGGCCCCCGCCGGAGTCGCCGCGCCGCCGGGGCACCCGCACTCGCCGGCGGCCGCCAAGCGCAGAGCCCGGGGGCCGCGGCCGCAGGCCGGGGCAAGGAGGCTGCCGTTGGGGCGCCGGTGATGCGCCCCCCCTCACCCCCACCCCCCGCCAAGCGCCGCCGCGGTGAGGGAAGCGGCACCCGGCCCGCGGCTGTCGTCCCCCTGCGAGGGACCGGCACCCCACTCACCGGGCACCGGCAGCTCCTCCTCCTCGGCGGGCTCGGCCATGGCAGCTGGCGGCGGGCAGCCGCCCCCGCGCCCCATGCAGCGCGGCGCCGGGCTGCCGGAAGTAAACACAGGCCCTGCCACGGGCAACGGCCATAGAGAGCGGCGGGGAGCGGCGCAGCGCGACGCGGCGCCCGCCGAGGAGGCCGGTGGCGGCAGCGGGCCCGGCCCGGGGGCCTGGCGGTCTCGACGGGGAGCGCCCCCTGGCGGCCGGCGGTAGGGCGATGAGAGGGGCCCTGCTGCTCCCTGCCCCGCCATCTTAAGGTTTCCCCGGGCTGGCGGTGGTCCCTCCGTGCCTCCGCCGCCTACGGGGAGCGCACAGCGGCCACAGCAGGCCAGGGTGCTGAAAGGAGGGAAGAATCATCCCTCTTGAAGGCCCTTTGCGAGTCTTCTCTCCACCTGGGCTTTGCTTTCCTGGCACCGTCCCTGCATGCCTGGGCGTTGCTTCTGTCTCCTGTCCCTGCCTCCGGCTGCTGCATGAACCATCTCCCACCAGGGCTCTGCTTTGAGCGCCCTGGGTAGCCGGGACAGGCCCGTGGTAGCCGCTGCTTGCTTCGCTGAGCGAGTGGAAGGGCTGCCCTGCCTCGGGCAGGTGAACAGAACATGACTCAGAAACTTTGTCACCACTGGGATTCTCTTGTCTTAAAAGGCAAGGCTCCTCTGATGGTCTCTCTTTCACCAGGATCTCCATGTAAAGTCTTCCTTTTGGGTGCACAAGAAGACGTTCAATCATCCAACCAGCCGGGGACATTCAGGTGATTGCAATTGTGCAGACACCACTGGAATAAATACAGGGGCTTGTAGCCTTTTAACCATATTTAATGTGCAGTCTCAAACTCCCAATAGAGCTTTTCACTCTTCTCCCCTCTCCCCCCCAAAAAAAAATTATTGGTGCTTTATGGATTTCCATTTTCTTGGTGTTCCTCTGTATTTCAGATATGCCAGGACATCCCTGGACAAAGAAAAAGGTCTTGCTCTCAGGATGATGTACTGCAAGGGACTGCAACTGACGCAGTTCAAGCCTTGTTTTATGCAGTTTAATCAATACAGTTGTTGGTGCATAAGATGCGGTGTCCATATAAGTACACACAAAGAAGGATAGCCATTTCATTTTCGAAAGGAAACAGAAAGTAAAATTTTTGCCCCTTCATGCGGCAGGGATTTCAGCTCTTTGAACTCCAATATCCTTCTGATGCTTTCTGCTCTAACTGCTTCTTCTAAGTCCAGAGCAAGGAGATATCCAGCAAAAGTTGTTCAAAATAAAACTAAACAAACACTGTTCCATGAAGTAATGCCTGAGAGACTAGTTACCAGATACTCTGGTTGCTAAGAATATAAATGGGTTATGAAACGATCAGGAAGATTCATGGGAAGAAGGTGTCTGCAGCAGAGTTTTGGTTTCTATGACTGTGGGATCCTATTTAGGGTTCAACATCTGGTTGGGAGAGATGGGGGCTACCTCACAAAGTGGGACAAATGTATCTCTGCTGATAGGATGGCTGACCTGGTAAGGAGGTCTTCAAACACGGAGTGGCAGGGAAAGGACGGAGTTTCCAGCAGCATCTGCAAGTGGCTGGATGCTGAGCTCCTGGAAGTATTCATTGGCCACCACCAAGTGCAGGAGGGATGGGAAAGATTGTTTACAGAGCATTTGGTTTTAGTTTTGGACACCCACTGCATGCAGACGAAGCAGAAGTCATGCTGGCAGGGGTCCAGCTATGCCATGTTGTCCCAATTGTCCAAGCAGACACATACCACAGAATCCACAGATCACAGAATCATATATGCAGCAGGTTGGGAGCTGCTCCCCCTCAGAGGTGCCCTAGCTGCTTGAGCCCCACTCTGCCAAAGAGAGACACCAAGGTCAGGCGCTTCCTCAGGGCAGGAGGCTGGGGAGCAGATGAGCTGTGAAAGGACATTGACCTCCCAAGGTGTTTCTTTTGGGTTGAAAGGAAGCACCATGGGCACTTTTGGTGCACCATCCCACAGACACTGCTGTATAAATGCTTTTCTTGCCTTTTCCTACCCTGATTGCACCTTCCTCTCAAGAAAGGAGCGTCAAGGGTCAGTTTCCTGCCAGCTCAGAGAGGAGAGAGATCTTACATGCATATTAGATGACTATATCAATATTACTCATTTATAATAATCTACTTTTCTCTTACACTACATTATTCTCTCTTCACCAGTGTGTCTCAATCCATGTACTCAATCCATTCTTTCATTTTCAATACGAAGCCCTGGAATATGTAAATATGCTAAACCAATTCAATCCTGATTTCAACACTGAAGCATTTTATGGTCAGTTTTTTACATGGTAGCACATTGAGCCCTGGCAGTCCGGGGGCAGCTAGCAGGAACGGGGGGTGGCTCTGGGGATCTGCACTGAGATATGCTGCTGGCATCCCAAATGTGAGAGAAATGCGTCACGACACTGGTCCAACTCTTCTCCTGCACCTGGTGCTGCTGCTTGCTCGCAGGAGCTTACCAGGGAATTGGTCCACATGGGAACTGGGGTCAGACAGTCCCTGTACAGGGGCCACCTGACAAAGGGGCACTGGCACTGTCTCCTCCCTGTGGGGCTGCAGGATGACACTAGTGGCCTTGGCACCTCGACCTCCTTTTCTTTCCACACTCTTTTCTCCTAGGTGACACACTCTCCATCCCCAGGGGCTTGGCTTGAAGGCCATGGCAGTCATTTGCCAACGAAGGGCAACCCAGTGGGAAACCATGGCCTGGATTTCTTCTCTTATGTGCAGCTCTTGTGGCTCTTTCATTCCCTTCCCATTCATTTCTGTTGGGTTTTGTTTCTGCCTGACATTTCCCCTGGCAACTGCTGTGTTTTCCAAGCACTTCAGGGCTGGGTTGGCTTGAGGGGTTCCAAACAATTCCCACCAAGAGCTATCACCCTGCGTGACTTTTTCATGGCCATCTCTCTTTCTGGGGAAGTCAAACATTTTTCTATGTGTTTTAATTATAGGACCCTCACATTGCAATTTCAACACATTGCCTTTCCGACGGATATGCCATCACCTTGATTTACTCAAGTACCTTACACAGAGGAGGAAATGAGAAAGTAATGGTTATATTTCAAAAGCACCTACGGTGCAGGTGGCGTAAAATCTTATCTGACAATTACATTTGAAGGCAGAAATTTAAGTGGAATCACTGTAGTGATTAGTAGTTGACCATTATACAGCAAGCAATTTAACATAAGGAGGTATGCAGGCCGCAGTATTGAAGTTTCTGGGCCTCACTGAGGGCTGTTTAATGTTATCATTGCACAATTTAAAGCTTGGTCAAAAAAAAACAAAACAAACCGAAACAAGAAAATAGACATTTTTTAATGTAGCCTTTCTCCATTCTTGTCAGGGACCTGAGGGCACGAATAAGCCTTAAGCTGGTCCTGCCCAGCCCCACACCTGTGGGCCTAGGACCCCCATTTTGGCTCCACACGGGCCGTGGGTCCCTTGCCCAGGCCATGCTGGGGCCGGGGAGTACCCCCAGTCATGGTCTTGTCCCCAGGGGAGCCTCCCCACTCGTGCTGCACCCTGACAAACCTTCTGCCTTTTTCTACTAGCACATGCTCCTGTCCAAATATTTAACAAACACGAAATTGCGACAAAATGGTGTTGACATAGGTGTGATATGATGCACACACACACACACACTCCCCAGAGAAGAGCACAAACTGCGTGTGGTGCAATGGGCCCTGTGAGCAATCTCTATCAGTAGAGTTTGACCAAGGAAAAGCTTCAGCGTCAGCCCCCGCCAGGCCCAGCCCTGGCTGGGACAACCGAAACAAAGACTTTGGTTCTTGGTTTTCCCTCGTTTCACAGCAGCACGGCTCGCTTTCTGCTTCATACACCCTTTTTTTCTCTTAACATTATTAGTGGGACTGAGAGAAGTCCAACGCGAACGGAAGATGCTGTTTAACGTGAGGCACTTCTTCAGTATTGCAAAACTAACAGGGAACAGCAAACCCCTGCTGCGACAGTTTTGGTAAGCTTATCCTTTACTTTTGTCTGGTGTTCAGTGACATTTAGTCAGAAACCTGGAGGCAAACGCAGCTGAATCCTGTGAAGGAGTGAGTGTTTCAGAGAAAGGCAATTTTTTTCCCCGCATTTTTATGGCCCTTTTGCTTCCCAAGGCAGCAAGCTCTACATCTTTGGGAGACTGGAGGGTTTTCCCTTTTAATATTTGTGAAATTCTCTTAATTCTTTCTGTGGGATTTAGCAGCAAAGTCAAGAAGGAACATTTCTTCTTGAGGTCAATGTACACTGCAGGCACTATAATCAATAAATAGCTATCTGAATAAAGTACAGGAAATTCTTACACATTTAGACAATTGTCATGGCCAGTACTGGGGGGGAGAAATTCTCTCCTTGAAGCTGCAAGATGAATCCCTGCTTCAGTATTTTTTTTGTCTCTGTAAACGCTATAGGTGTGCAGGAAAAGCATGATGTGGTATGAGGCTCAAAGTTAACCAGGTAGACCTGACTCTGTGATCTCGCTTTGGGTTCTTTCTTCAGCCACGTAGGTGTGCCTGTCCCCTGTGCCTTCAGAAAATTAAGGCAGTGTTATAGTAAGCTGCTTCTTATGCCTGTCACATCTCCAGAATCAGGTTAAAATTAAAGACTTGAAAATTAATTCCACATCTTATGTTTTCATATTGATGTCAATAAGAATAGCATTAACAGTGTTATGTATCAAGTGATTAGTGCTGGAAAACAATACATGGGAATTTCACATTCACAGGAATCCTAATATGCAATAAGTCATTTTTATTTATGGTTTCTACATTACATCAAACAAAAAACAAATGTTTTCCAAGGTCTGTGATTTATTTGCTACAGCTTTAAAGTGTTCCTGAAGCCTGGGTGATAATTTTTGTATGGATTTTGGATTTTCAATGCTGGCAATAGGTGGGAACTTTCTCTGGTCAGCAGAGATGATAGAAAAGCAAATTTGGAAAACAACTGCAGTAAAGCCCGTTTTCCAAGAAAGTCATTCAATTTATCAAGGTCCCCACATAATGTTGTTTGTTATTTTTAGGGTTTTTTAACATTCTGTCATAATATTGGCATAACTGTCACAACTGTCTATGAGCATTATAAGTTAAGAGTGCTGTTGTTG